TTGGGTTTTCATGAGCTGTATGCCATAATCATCAGTATTAAAACAATTAAAGACCTGAAATATTTCAGTTGGTGTGCAATGAATCTGAAATATATGAAAGTTTCATTTTTATCATTACATTATGGAAAATAATGACCTTTATCACAATATGCTAATTTTTTGAGAAGGACCTGTACAGTCATGGGAAACAGAAAATCATCCCTCTTAAGTTTTCTATATCACAACAACATCACATGGTCTTTATCAGATTCTAAAATTATTCTAATCTCAACTCAAATTATTTGCAGTTTCCACAAAATTTAAGAGGTTCAGTATCTGCCTGGTGGTACTGGTCAAACGTACTGGGGAGTGATGGTGCAGAGGTTAGAGAAGGTGGGCCTGTGATGGGAAGGTCGCTGGTTCGACTCCCCAGAGCAACAACATCAAAATGTGGGTGGAAAAGGTGTAACACCCACACCTGCCTCCACTTTCATTTGCTCCACTCTGAGCCCTTGAGCAAGGCCCTTAACCCCCACCATCTGCTTCCCCGGGCACCCTAGATGTCAGCTCTCTGCTCCACACAGAGGGCCGTGGTAGCTCGGTGGTCTGTGGTTGTGTCAGGAAGGACATCTGGTGTAAAAACAATTGTCAAGTCTTCGTGTGAGTTAGTTTACTGGCAACCCCTCAAGAATGGAGCAATTGAAAGAAGAAGAAAATGAATGAAAATGAATTGGGCCCATCTCTAAAAAAGCAGGAGTTTTGTCAAGTTTGCAGCTCTGGAGCATACAGGAGTTAGCACAACGCCAAGCAGGAAACGCATCAGCAATGACCTTAAAGAAGGCAGTTGCTGACCACCAATCTGGGAAAGATTAAAGGTCGTTTTCAAGTAATTTGTAATAAGGCGGCGTCTGCTGTGGGCTCAAAGCTAGTTCCTCTGGAGGTGATTGAGAACAGCATGATGGCCAAACTGCAGGTCATCATGAACAAGACCCCACCCCCACCCAAAACCCCCCAAAACAAAAAACTGTAGATAATCCAAAGAGCAGCTTCAGCAACAGACTACGCCAGGGCTATTCAACAAAACTGCTCAGGGGGCCGGACATTCAATTCAATTCAATTCAATTTATTTATATAGCACCAAATCACAACAAAGTCACAACAAATCACAACATCCAGCGATTAAAATCATTATGTAAATAAACCAAAGTTTACAATGATCTGTTACCTTTTAACAACAAAGTCCATGCTCAATAATCCAGGTATACATCCAACATATTTCAGTCAGGTCATCTGGACAGTTTCTTTTTGTTACCTTTTAAATTTGTTTATTTCATTGCATTGAATCATAAATGCAATAAACAGAACCCAGAACCCCCCCAAAATTATTATTTGTTTATTTTTTAATGAAGTGGGCTGGACTGAAGTCACCCACGGGCCACCAGTTGAACAGTCCTGGACAATGCCAACCCTGCTGTTTTAAAGAGCGGTACAAGAACTCTTTCCTGCCAACTGCGGTTAAATCATTCAATTTATCTGCTTCATGACATGGTTACTGCTGGATTTATCCATTTCTATTGATCATCTGTGGGTTTGCACCAGTGTTACAGTTTGTTCGTGCACATCTGACTGTGTCTTGTTCTCGCACCATGTCTTCATGTCGTGTTGCTTCTTGCATCTGTTTTAGACTGTTCTCTGTACCTGTCTTAACCTGTGCTGTTCTGCTGCTGTGACAGTCTAATCACCTCACTGAGGATTAATACATTTGTCTGTCTGTCTGTCTACAGAAAGATTAAAAAGTGAAAAACATTTAGGACAGCTGGAACAAGAAAACATGAGACGATGAATGTTGGATTTAATATTTTATACCTTTTTATAATTCCTATCAAGC